CAAATAAATATAAAAGTCAATAGTTATGAACAACCTTGCTTCATTTGTAAATTTGTTGAATTTTGTCCACTCATATCTTGATTATAATTGATTTTCTTGATTATATCCAAAAAAGAAAGAGTAGCACTTTCATTTGTAAATGTGTTATAACAAAGGGCAAATATGAACCATATCTGGTGTTTATATTGCTTCTATTTGGGATGAAAACATCTGTTGAGCATTTTAACATTAAATTGTTTGATTGTGTTGAATTAAAAACCCCAAAATACAGCGGATCCAACAGACCCACAACACCTGCTGAGTAACAAAAAAATGAACACCATACAACGGCGTTAACAGAAATTCATCCAGTTTCCACATTATTGATAATTAGGCACCTCTCTTAAAGACGACCTCCCAGGACAACTGATCCGACATTTGCCCACCATTCCTTAAGCCCCTTGTGTATCCCGCGTATCGCTGACAATGGAGCAACAGCTGATGCTTAGTTCAGTCATTTAATTGTTCATTTAGGCAGCAAACAGTTTCTTTATTCCCATGTTAATATTGAACAGGATCCCATTCTAACTGTGATAATACTTAGTTCAGCAACAAAGCAATGTCATTATCCACAGCAACTTTTAGAATAAAATTCACTCATCTTGACTGAATGCTTGACATCATAGCTTGGCCTGGATTTTTTTGTTTAGTGTTAAGTTAAGTGCAAACCTTGCTGTCGTTTCTATAAGGAATTTACTTAGTAATTGCTAACATGAAAGCATACAGTATACTTCCCATTCATGTAAATTTATAAAAGCAGTGTGATACATTTTTACAAAAGGGTTAGGTGTCACGGTTTGGCTTCATGTCTGGTTTTATTTTGTAATTTCTTGCCTCTGTTCTCCCTGGGTCACGTCACTTCCTGCCTTGTCCTGTCAGTCCCCTGTGATTGTCCGTCATGTCATGATTGTTTCCAGCTGTTTCCAATCACCTGCACCTCCGTGTAATGTGTGTCTGTTGTCACTGGTCGCGTCATTCTTAGTTGTCAGAAGCCCATGTCCGTTCCCTGTTCCTGTCTCCTGTTCCCTGACTACATCTTTGCCTTTTTGGAATTTTTGACAATTAAAGTCCCTTTTTGTTTTCGAAAAACTCTGCGTTTGAGTCCTGCCTTTATCCCCAGCACCTTCTTGACAGTTAGGGTTGTTTTCTGATTCGTCACACACAGACGTATCCACAAAGTGCATCACATATCCATTGCAGCTATTACGAATGTATAAGTGAGCACTGCATCACCGCCACGTATGAAGAAATACATTAAAGAAAATATATTAAATTAAATATTCTAACCGACTGGATCCGAACTCTGCAGAATCTTAAAAAGCCCTGAATCAGATTCGCCACCGTATCACACCTGCTGGTGGTTGTTTGGTTTATTTATGTTCGTGGAGGAAATGTTTGGGTCTACTGGTCTAAAACAACTAGTTCCCTTCCTTTGTCAACCAGGCTGCTACAACTCTTTCGACAGCGCTTCTGATTCAGGAATTTCTTCAATTTTGCTGCGGAGATTCACTTATACATTCATAATTGCTGCAATGGATTCGTGATGGATTTTGAAGATTTTCAGCAACGTATTTGTGAACGTGTGACGAATCAGGCAACAGAGGCAGAAAACAGCTGCTGCTGTTAAATAAATGCAAACATTCATGCATGTGCAAACCAGTGGGTTCAAAAACCCATCGGGACGTAACAGCGGCAGCAAGGCTCAAACCAAAAAGTAGTGTTCAGACATCACAAAGAACCGTACCAACTTGTGACTTTAAGTTAGAAACCAACTAGTTTGATCACCTAAAATGCATCTGAGCATTTTCAGTCAACTCTGGTGATTTGCAGGGCCTTCCATTGAAAGGTACAGTGAATCTGTACCTTTCTTCACCTTCGTCTCTCCTTCCTGACCTGACGATGACCCCTGAGACAGGCCTATAGTGCGCATTCTCCTCCAGTCTTTTCCCCACACCGAGCCACTCTTTCACCTGCTGTCTGAGAATGAGGGAAATGTGGCCAAACGCTAAAAGTGATCCGTCATTTTTATTAAAGAAAAAAACAATGAAGAGGCCTGTCTGCCCTCCCTTTGTTCTGCTTTTGCTCGATCTGTACGAGTCCAATCATGCTTTAATTCCTAAGTATAAAAGACATTATGCATTCACTGACAGTTTCTTGCATTTAAATATAATATAATTATCTGTAAGTCATATTAATGAATGCAAAATGAACTGAAATTTCCTTTCATACAGAGGTGTAGAGATGTAATCCGTCAAAATACAAAGCTGTTTGTCCTCGTACTGCAATTTTGATTTGATTTAGTTTCAGAAATTAGACAATTGTGACAGAACAGCGGGGAAGTGGTTTTTGTTATGGAGGGACTTGGAGCACAATGATTGTGAGTGATTCACTTAACCTACTCTGTACCACTTGATGGAATATTTCATCCCGAGCACCCTCTGCTGTCCGTCTGCAGCAGCGGGCATTAGAGCTGCTCTGCAGGTTTTCAGCCACTAGGTGGCGACGTCGTCAAACCTGACACATGGGCCAGACCGATAAAAGAAAGCCATATCTTGCTATGCTGTTTGGCTTATGTTTGGGGGATAATATCCCATCATTTTATGGCTCTATGATCCCAACAAATATCAGTATTAAGTATGTCAATGTGGTGTTTTGTGAGGGGGCGGGGGGGGGGGGGGGAGGTGCTGGCCTCATTTCACATGCTGTTACAGCGGGATGCACGTAATCTGTCATGTTTACGGTCTACTTTTATACCCCCCTATTGTTGATGATATAACATATATCTAAATGATACTCCAAATTGTTTACTGATGTAAACTCACTCCCCCTGACACAATAGTGTGTCTGTACAGAGAGAGACTGGTGTGTTGTTCAGAGGCCGGGCAGCAGCAATACTGAGGGGCTCAATGTCGCACAAAGGGAATGTGCAGTTGTGAATGGTGTTACTGTAACCACAATCCTCTCTGTCGCTCTAGACTTTTAAATGGTGTGAATGCATGTGTGTGTGTGTGTGTGTGTGTGTGTGTGTGTGTGTGTGTGAATGCCAGGAGAATAGTCGCATTCATGTCACTGCGTAGACGCGGCCTGGTTGCAATGAGGGGATAAAAAAAAAGGGAGCAGTGAAAAACTACACAGCAGTTTACTGAAGTCAACAGAAGTCCAGTCAAAGTACAGCTGTCACCTTCATTAAAATTACTTTTTTTAACCACTCAAAACACCCAAGAGGATATAAGAGATTCATTTCAGTGTTTGTCATTATCAAATGGTTAAAAGCAATGTGAAAAGGCGGCTTTTCCAGATGACGGGCTGAACTGTGCTCCATATTCCTCTTCTTCCTGCTGCACTTTGGCCGACTGAATGTTGTGAAAACTGGACGTGTGACAAGTGAGTGAGTGAGGGATGGTGAGTGCGCGTATAGTAAGAAGTACTGTGGAGTCAGTGATCGTCTTCCATGTAAATTGAGTGTCAGGTCTTAACTTAACTGACAGGAAACAACTTTAACGGCAGTTGACTTTAAGGTGAGGTCGTAATTACATGTCAGCCACCTGTCAGAATCTAATGACATGACAACCCCCCCCACACACACACACACACACACACACACACGCACACACAAGCCGCTCTGCACTGTTACGAAGGTTCTACTTCAGTTTTACTTCTTCCTTCTCTTTCTTTTACTGTATTTGACAGAGTTACTTAACAGATTAATTCTTTATACAAAGCACGCAATGATCTTGTGGTGGAATGAACTTCAGATTGTTTTACTTCTGTGAGAAGGATGAACGTTTTTTATTTTAACTTGTTGGGAAAAGGTCATTTTGGGCCTTTAACGGTTATTTAAAAGAAACCATCTGAAGTCAAACGAGATATAAGGAAAAAACATCCGTACATATCTGTATAGAAAACGTTATGAATAATATTTGTGTTCTCAGAAAGTGCAGAAATGGTAATGAATATATAGAATATACATGCAACATAAAAATAAAAGTAAGTCTTGTTAAAAGGGACATTTTGTATAGTGAAAGATTGTTGATACATCTGCTACGTTTTACTGACCACACTGTACTTTTACTTGCACTTGACTCAATTGGGTGATTTAAGTGGCATTTCTTGGAGTACTTTTTTCCAAACTTCACACGAAATGAAAAACTAACAGTAGCTAACGTGTTTGGTTGTTGTGTAAACGTGAACACGACCGTAATCCCAACTGCAGAAAGTCTCTTGTCAGTTTCCCAAAAGCCGAATAACGTCGGCAGAAATACTTCCCAATCCACTTCAACGTGGTCGTAAAATAAAATTGCTGATCTCATTAATCCGTCTGCTGAATGTGTTGTTGACGGGAGGCTGTCGGGAGTCAGGTGACCCTTGAAAAGATGTATACATTCAGTCATGACAAAAGGCACTGCACTTGAATAACCTTTATTTAGTTTACAGATGTATTCCATTTTGGAGAGGGGGGTTGGGGGGGGGGGGCATTAGTGCTATTTACAATTTGTTTGAAAACACTTAGCTCTGTACATATTTGAACCCTGATCAATATAAACAATAGTTTTAAGACCTAGTGCTGTTACATAGCGATTCTTTAAAAGCAAAACAGGATTACATTAAATTATAAACAAATGCAAAAGCAGTAATAAAAGATCACAGATGAAAGTAAATAAAATACTCTATAGTCTGTTTGATGATTAGGGAAGTGTTGCTGCTCTTAAGCACAAGACATTGTCAGCGAGCGACTGTGAGCTGGCTAGAAGCTAACCGCATACACAATCATTACTGCACACCAATATACTGCGCAGCAACGAGATTAGATTGATCATGTTCTCTACAAGATTCATATTAAATATACTCTACACCTTATCATAGTGTGGAACAATAGTTCCATTGGAAAAATATAAAATAAAACAATAAAACTTTTATACATTTGTATTAATCTGATGAAGGAGCACATGCTTTGGTTGTGCAAATGAGGAGCCGAGGAGGAGCGAATTAAGACGAATGAGGAGCATTTTCATTCCGAGTGAATTCCGTGCCGGTCAGCAATGTTTCAGAGGGATCCTTCACAACACTTTTATTTTTTTTAAAGGAGCGAGAGATGATGGTGCATGAGGGAAGGAAAAAAAACTGACACGATGTTTTATTAATCACAACACTGGTCGGTCAGTAATATGCGTGGACTGTCAAAACTTAAACAAATAACCAAAACAAGACCACCAACACGGGTTGTTTGTCCATTTGTTTGTCTGTTAGGCTTGGTTTGGCTCAGCGTGTGGCGACTAAAAGACGCGTTGAGGCCTCTACAGCACTCAGCAGGAGAAAGGAATCAGTTCTCTCTTGTGACTGTTCAGGGCACATGGACAGGAGGGCAGTAAAAAGGACACGTGTGTGTGTGTGTGTGTGTGTGTGTGTGTCACGGTTTGACTTCTCTTATCAGGCACGTCTGAGCTCTGTCGGCTGCACCCGAGGGAGATCACACAAGCACATCTGGCTGGATCTGTAGACAGGAAGTTAAAGTGTGTGTGTGTGGGCGGGGGGGGGGGGTGCAATTGTGTTGGCGAGTTGTTAGTGGTTAAAGTTCTCAGCGGTCTGAAAGAGAACACAAGGCCCACACACAAACTTGGGGCACTGCATTACTATGATTACAAAGCTAGCATGAGGAGCTTTAAACAGGCCCGACTGAGCATGGTTGCACACGTTGTTTCTGTGTATTGCAGGTACGTGTGTGTGTGTGTGTGTCTGTGTGCCAGAATGCTTTAAAAAAAGGTGTGCATTAAGAAAAAAAGAACAAAAAGAAAAAACCATTTGCAAATCCAGTTCATCCACTAATTTCTCAGTTGAGACAAAGGAATCAACTCTAAAGTGAATACATGTCCTGCTCCCTACCGTGTGTCCTCAAGCAGCATGTCTTTCTAAATGTGTGTGTGTGTGTGTGTGTGTGTGTGTGTGTGTGTGTGTGTGTGTGTGTGAGGGAAAACAAAAGGAAAAAAGGTGTGTCTGCTATGTTTGTCTGTATGCAAATCCACATTGTGGCCACGTTTCAGCACCGGGAACCAAATCAGTGGGTCCAAGATGTTGACGCGGGAACGGAGGAGAAGGATGGAGGGACGGTGGCAGCGGCGGCGTGTATTCACAGGATGACACAGCAGTTACTCTCCCCGGTCTTCTCTCTATTCCTCTGACCTGAGAACACAAACAGTCAACAAAGTGTTATGTCGGCTTGTCAAATACAGATCTACTCTAACGATAAATTATAATGTAGCTGTTAAATCCTCTCTCAGAGCAGCATTTTGTCTGATAAGCCTTTAAATGCGTGGACATGTTACTCAGACTGAGTGTTGAAAACTACCACAAAACTTCAAGGTAATCCAATCAAGAGCTTTGTTCCTGTTTTAACAGTGAGCGACGCCGACTAACATTGTACCTTCATTTGCAACTGTCCAAACAAAAGCGTGGCTCTATTGCAGTGTGCGAATAATGTAGTGGAGCAGAAATAGTGTTTTTCTAGACCACAATAACCATTTGACACACACACAATAATATGATTTATTTTGGCTGTATACTCTACACAATGTGCTGTATCTTAGGGATACACATGAAGGGCTGTGGCTGTTCCTGTGTGGGGATACATGGTGTCGGGGAGCAGAACGTTGCTCAGCGTGTGAAAAGGCCCGCTGAAAGGGAAGACGGGATGGTTACCTTGGGAATTTGGCTCAGGCAAAGTCTCTCTGGCAACTAAATGCATCACTGTGGTCCTCCCCAAGGGCAGCTTGAGAGCTAGTTGGGGAGATGAGAGAGAGAGAGAGAGAGAGAGAGAGAGAGAGAGGGGAAGCAAAGGTTACTGAGAGAGAATCAGTACATCCATCTTTACAAAGTCATTTAACAAATAATAAAAGCTGTTTAAGAGAAAAGAAACTTTTGGAAAGCGTTTCACTCTCAGTAGGACTCGGGGGACAAATCAATATGTGTGTCGATGACGCGATCATGTTATTTATGTCGTCGAATCGATGCTCGTCAGAGTCCGTTATTGACACATGCCTCTTTCAACAGGAAGCGCTTGGGCTCAAATTGGAACACAGCAAATGCTTTGGACACTATGATGCTGGATGTATCGCCCCTGTTGTGATATAAATATTCCTTTGCAAATCTCCACGTCTTTCTGTAACTCTTTACTTACATAAATCGAGGACAACGTTTAATTGATTTCCTATATTATAATATGTTTTGGCATTTTAAAAATAGGACTGTGATATTTGATGGGAAGCTGCCAGATGTAAAAAATAAAATCAAAATGTATGTACTTTTATTTAAAACTTGATCCACGCACCACATTGAAGTTAATACGAGGCCGCAGTACTTGCAGCTCTGTAACTCCACAAAACTGCTCATTAATCCCGTCCCTTGTGCGCCATGCGGTGTCGATGCATCTCAGGTTTGACCAAAGATAAGAGGACGATCAGATAGTTGGCAGTAATGTCGTGTGAGAACAAAACAGCCGTCAATTCAAAATTAGGCCAAGCTGACTGAAAAAGGCTTTAGGTCTAGACTACTGTCGGTCTAATGCCCCTTATCCGGACCACTCTCCCCCCTCTTTTCGGTGTTTCCTCTCTCCTCCCTCTCTCTCTCCGTCAAAGCAGACTTGTCCGGAGCACTGAGGTTCCTCTGTTCCGCTGCTTCGGGGAAAGAGACGAGAGCAGCAAAGAACTTTCCGGCAACTCCCGGCGGTGCATTTGTGTGATGAAGGGTTGTTGTACTCTCTGTGCTTCCTCACCTCCTAGTGTTACGTTGCCGTGCAGAAACCGGCCCTGGTAGATCAGCCTCAGGATGTTGGGACTGCTGACCTGCTCTTCCTCCCAGTCTGAAAGAAGAAGAAAAAAGGGGGGGGGTGTTAAATAGAACATGGAGGAAGACAAAAGACGAGCACGACACACTCATAAAAAGCCAAAGATGGCGCGTGCCGGGGGAAGAGCTCCAGACCGAAAAATAAAGGGGAGAGAGGAGCTTGCGGGGGGGGGGGGGGTGTTGCACAGCAGCAGCATCTGGCAACCAGATGTTTGTCTCCAGCTAAACAGAGGGTGTCGGTGCTGACTGAGGGCCCGCTTCGGGTTCAACTGTCTGAGGTGGGGGGGGGTGGACGATGCATGCTTCCAAAACCCACACCCAGATTCTCTCACATTCAAGTTCATATACATCATTTTATAGTTCTCTCCGATATTTGGTTCTATTCACAGCGCCGTGGGGAAAGGTGCGGAGGCATCTAGGAAGCGGGTGCACTACAGAAGGGAGGTGAGTGTACGGAGATGCTAATCGATCCGAAAGGAGGCGCTCCCTCTGGTTAACCAACCAACGATTGGCCCGTTCTCACGCTGCTACTCTGACCTGCATGTAGGTCACCAGCAGCAGGTTCGACTGGGTTCGGAGAGTGAAGCACTCATCTGATTTCATCTTCAGCCCGAACAACCGCCGAGATAAGTCCGATCGCCAGGCCTGATGCTTCACGTGTTTACTTATTACAGCTTGTGCAAACAGACTGCAGCTGTGCTTATGAGATCATTTGATTTATGAACAAAAGGCCCGTGAGACTTGAAATGAATGGTGAAGAGGTACAAATACGTCGAAGTAGAAAACGCCCGGATGACCTCGGGGTGATTTGATTGGCTTTGCATTGTCACTGTCGCCACGTCATTCGTTGAGTGCCGGCGGCAGTGACTCTCACGGAGGAATCCAAACACAGCTACTCACCCATCGGCCAGTTGTCATACACGTGTTTGGCAATGTCGGCCGCGGAGTCGTTCGGAGAGAAGAGGAATTCTTTCGTCTTCCCGCTGACTAAAATAAGCCGCAGGTTTATCTGCAAAACAGATTAAGAAAATGTCCGTTAGATAGAAGAAAAATCAAATGGAAGGAACACAAGGAACTGTCATGTGTGACATTTAACACAGAGAAAAACTCAGCGCACAAGTTCAAGTGAATTAATTTAGTAGGAAGTAGGAGAAGGATGCGAGGACCCTTAGGAGTGTCCTTCAGCGGGATTAAGTCCCAGATGCCTCTCCGACTTCCTCCTCACTTTTCTCTCAAACCCCTCGAGCTCTCCTTCATTGTCTTTGGTTCACAATTCTCTCACAGTTGTCACCTTCACCACTAGTGATCCTCATGAGACAAACATTTAAATTTGCTAATTTTACTGTACATTAGACACATTATGCATTTATTGAGGATTTTCTTCATTTTCCAAATACTAAATAAAATAACAGTTAAAAAAAAAAAAAAAAAAATCACAATATGTTGCTCATTTATTCACTGGGAACAGTGTGGACTTCAGCTCTGCTGAGTCAGCGTACGGAAACCGGTTGGACTGGATTACTCTCACTCACAGCACACAGACAGCAATGTTGGCATCATTTCTCCACCTTCATAACCTTAATCATATCTGGTAAAAGTCAAACATGTTTTAAATCCTGTGAAGGACCAAAAAGCAGCAACTTAAGCATTATACAGTAATAGTCAACAAAACAATAACGATTCAGCACTTTTACCCTTTAGTCTAAAATATCATCTTCAACGTGCCAACTGAACTAATCACTTGTTTCCAATTGACTGCTTTCAATAAATCGGGAGGCCCAGATTTCAGTAGTTCATTTCTCATCTTAAAAGACCCCAAATACTGGGTTTAGCAGTAGTACAATTTGCCTTTAAGAGCGTGCACACAACACGGCCCAAAGGTCTGTGGTGGGTGTGTGTGTGTTTGACTTGGCTGTCTATATTTGCGCGCCTGGCTTGCAGTGTGTGCACAGAACCCACGCAGGTGCCATTGTTTCTACCGGGTTCCCGTGTGCCAAGCGTCCGTTAGCCCCCCTGCACACAAAAAAAAAAAACACTCCGTTGAGCAGCACAAACACAAACTTATGTACAAAGACACAAAGTCGCACACAGGGCCGGCGATGCAACAGAGTGCAAACACCGACAGATTGAAAGCGGCATCTGCGTAAGCGCGTTAGCCAATCAGCTTATGGGGTTAAAAATGGAAGGGCCACGTAGAGGAACTCATACCATCACACACACATCGAGCCAACAAACACGTGCAAACGAGTAGAGAGATCAGACCGATGGCTCAGACTTTATATATTTATACGTGCCTGCTTCACGCAAGCGCACGCAGCCACGCAGAGACACACACAAAGGGTCTTACACACAGCGCGTGTCTGCGGAGTAAAACTGAAAGAAATGACCAAAGAAAGCGGTTTCCCGCTGTGGTTCACAGGGGACAAGTTTCAACCATAAAGGTTGGATGCAGATCATCAGAGCGAGAATCTGCGGAATGTGGGCGATTCAGCGACCGTGTGGCGAACGTGCAGCAAGTCCTCCGTTGAAGCACGCCGCCAACGAGGGTCCGCGGTGCAGAAGGAAGGCCCTCTACCGAAGCGGTAAGACTTACTCCATTACGGTCGATCACCTGGTCGTTACCGTGGCTGGACCTGATAACACCTACAACATAAGATTTAGCTGTTTGCAAAGCTTATGGAGAACTAGACCATGGTGAATGTATCACTTCCCCAAATGTTTGCATGTGAAAGTAACAGCTTGCGTGAACTTCACACAAGCTGTTACCTGGTACCAGGTATACGTGGCGCCCTCCGGTACGACAACAAACAAAACGAGATCTCTCGAACTCGTAAGAAACTTTGATTGGCAACTTCTTTGAAGGAAACTTGAGTGAATGCTAAAATGTTCTGCAAACAACAGCAGAGTAAACGATCGGCTCCCCTGATGACAACGGTCATGTGTTTCCAGGCGTGTCATTTCACTATCACTCTTCCAACTAAGACAGTGCCAGAAAAAAAAAAAGCTTGTGGGATCTTTTTTTATTTTTGAAAACAAAATAAGTAGTGCCACGGCGTAAACATGAGAGGGAAGCGAACCCCTCTCGGCTGAACACCGCTGGCACGCGGTGGAGAGCAGGAAATCCAACGCCGTCTATAATTATTCCTCCCCGAGTACCACTCCCGACTCTTCCTCCAGGCGATAGAGTGCGCGCTGGGTTTATAAGTGCATTAAGGAGTATTGCTGCTCTTTGCAGCAGTCAACAAATAACAGAGAGGGAAGCCTTCCTGTGGGAATATATCAGGCCGGCTTCATATGTAAGTGTGCGTAAGCTGATGCCCGACTGTATGAATGAGAGGAGGTGGGTGATTAGTCCGAGCCGGCCTTCCTTAACTCGCCTATTAAATCTTATGGATACCCAAAGAACGTAGTTACGCTTTGAGATTACAAATCCCACACGAATTATCAGTTATTTTTATAATTACTAAAAATAAGAGACGTATTGGGTATGTTGCGGCTTGTTGAACAAACGGCGGACAAAGACACAGGAAGAGGAGAAGAGATCGAGAGGGGCAGCCAGAAGGACACCTCCTCGGATTTTACTAATTAGTCCAGAAAATGCTTTTTAGCAAACACACAAAGAGCTACTGAAGTGATTAACTGCCAATTTGCTCGTGGAGCCATTGTTTTGTTTTTTTTAATTAAAAAATGGCCTGAAAAGAAATCTGAATCGATGTACGTGATGGCACAGCGTTGCTGCCCGGAGCTCGACTTCTTCTTCACGCGTCAGAAGCTGAAGGGAAAATAAACTCTTTGGATTCGTCAAAAAGCCTAATCTTTCTTTCTTTTTTTTAAGGTTATTAGGATTTTCTTTTTTTTGTGAGAGTTCCTTTGTGTGCTGACTGATAATAGGCAGAAGTAAGCGGCTGCGGTCTCAGTGTGGTTGGGAGTACGTGCGTCTCTCAGTGTTGGGGGAAGCGCATTACTGCAATCACTTCTTTATGGGCTTCTTATGGGTCTTTTTACCACACCTCAAAAGCATGTTTTTGCAAAAAAAAAAACGCTTTCTAACACATTAATAACCGGAATTAAACAAACAGTTGAGGCAACCAACTGCTAGAGAAGGAGCTGAAATACGTTGACATTAAATACAGGAGATCCAAAATAAAAGCAGGGACGGATCGAAGAAAAAACAGAGACATTACTCTTAAAATCTTCTCTTTAGAAGCTCGTGAGTGAGGCCATGCGCATCCTTTTGTGCCGATTTCCAATTACTTTACGTGGCGCCGTGTCTTACCAAGCACTTCAACATCAAGGCACATGACTACATGAGCTCGGTTCAAACATCTGCGTCACTGAAGTCCGCCAAGGGATCCAACAGACCTTTTCACTGCGGCAATGATCTCAAAACAAACAGCAGGACCTTGACCCTACAGTGTGTTTATTATTAACTTCACCATCTTCTTATGGCACTTATCTACCACGGCTCGTGTGTGTCGTTGCTTGTTTTGGCCTGCTTAACAAACGGCTCGTATCACACAACGTGCGCCATATGCAACGTTAGGTAGCTGCTGTTTCCATGAGGTGGTTGAGGAAAGAAGATTAAGACAAAGAGTTAGGTATTAGTATGGATATGACAAGACAGTAGCGAACGTTACTAACGTAAAGCATGTGATCCCGGAACGTCTTGGGCCAATCGCCATTGGAGTTTCAATATAAATAATCACATGAATCATTCAAGAGAAGGTCTACTGTGAACGGCGCCGTGAAGGCCAACGCCACATACCTTTTTCCGATTGGCACTTCCTGTGGCAGAGGCTGCTAATGGCTACATTTCAGCGTTATCGGAGCTGTTAAATGAAAGCCTCCTTCCTTCAGAGTAGCATCAAAACATCCTGTGGCCATTTACTCGCACGACGCAAAGAAACGCTCCACTTTCAGCTCTCCAGCAAAGACTCAATACACATGCGTGCTGTGATCATTAGGGGAAGGTCATTGTTTGACGTTGGGGATTTGGGCATCTTCAAGTCCTCTTTTCAGACTCGGGAGTGTTTGGTGGTGCAGCTTTTCAACAGGAAATGAGCCACAAAGCTCGGCCGTGCCTCTCGTTGCACACAGCCGCCCCATCGTACCTCGTCTCACCGTCTCGCTATCCTTTCATAAGCTGACATCCTCATCACAAGCGTAAACACCGCCGCGCTGCTCTCCTCTCCTTCAAACCGCCGTGATAGGCAGCTTCCTGCGCGCCGGCAGTGACAGCTCGCTCTCCATCTTTCTCCCTCTTTAAAAACAGAAAACCCTTTAATCAATCAGCTGCTTCTCCTCGTTTGAGAAACAGGTAGGGCGCCTTTTTCCTGCTGTCATCCCCCCTTCCCGGCTCACTCCTCTGAAAAACATGCTTCACACACACACACACACACACACACACACACACACACACACAGGCTGCCGCATTCCAGGTCTCCTGACAGGCGGCAGGTAGGTGCCTCTGATCGCACGGGCCTCCTGTCGCTTCCTCTTTCTGATCGCAAAGAGTTTGACGCTGGTTCGTCTGAAATGGCCGCCTGCTGCCTCCCCCTCTGCTCGTCGTCTCGCTTCTCCACCTTTCAAAATGGCTGTTCACACCCCCAGGGGACAATGAGTCGGCGCGCCACTCGTGAGCCGAAACTCAAGTTAATTACTGTACTGTGTCGCTCTCACTCACGCACACACACACTTACACCCACGGCCTCCCCACCTCGGACAGTAATTGTTGACTGCATGTGAATTTAAGCTACTTTTAGCAAATCAGGGAGAGGATTGATAAAAGTTAGATGTGAGAGTTTCAAACTCTCTGCGAGAAGGTGTGTCAAAGGAAAAGGTGTCGTCCAAAACGACAAAAGAGTCGCTGAGCATAAAACGCGTGTGTGTTTTAGCATCTGCAGCGCGTGAACGGGTTACAGATCATTACTGACGCCGGACTAAAAACAGGCCCGACTGAGAGTGTTTCCACGTCTCAGGTTTACAACACGGTCTTCTACACCACAAGTT